AACACGGTGTACAGTCGAGTCTTGATAGCTTACTTACAACTGGGCTCGTCAGGCACTCTTCTTGGCTGCAGTGGTTATTATTATATTTACATGCTTCCAGCTCCCGTTTTTGCTCGATGACAGCTCGTACTTTTCGACTCTCCCTTTTTCTCCCTCCTCGCGCTCACAGACACATAACGGGTATGGCAGTCCATTCTCCCTGCAACACGGACTACACTGCCCATGAGGCTACATTCTTTAGGGCTATACCTGTAACACTCTGCCTATTGCCTTCATATTAAATAATCTTTGTGAATAATTTTTAAAAATATTTTTTCACGTATTTTTAATACATTTACAGTTAGAAAGTACTGCATCTGACTGAAGAAGCGAAAGTATTTATCAGAATTAACATTCTCCTAGTGGAAGAACAGCCTCAGAATTGGACCTGTAAGCTTGTGTGGTTGACTTTCTTCTTGGTAAACACAGTAAAAAGATATATAACTTGGATTTATAAGAGACGCACCAACATACAAGTAAACGTATTTCACGTTGTGTTGTACATGGAGTCCTCAAAGTGTTTTAACATTTCAACACAATGTCAAATGCAGTTTGTCCTTTATGCCCAAAACAAGAAAAGCAGAACTGAACCAAGATTCAAAGTTATGGGAAGCTTCAGTTTACAAGACACCAAGTTCCTGTAAAGAGCTAATGTGTGTAATGGGATTCATAAAGACTTGACATCAGATTGTGTCACATGCATAAAAAATATTTATTATCATAGTATGGAGGGAGAAAATGTGTGTTTTAGGAGTGTTTGGTGAAATAGATGATTAAAATTCCCCGTTTTCACCACCAGAAGTGCTACACAGCAATGATTTTATGTATAGGCCACTGGTTTGTCTATTTTCTCAAGATGATCTCTAGTTTTTCAGGATTGTGTGTGTGCTACAGTAGTAATCATAAAGTATGAATCAGAAATTGTTCAAAATAAATTTTAAGCTGTAAGTTGACTTAAGTTTACTGAACATATTTTGTTTTTGATAATAATGTTTGTGAATAAAACTCCTGCTATTCATTTTTATTCTTAAAACTAATTTGAGATAATGGCAGGTTTAGGATATACTGAAAGTATTTATTTCACACGGATAACATATCAAATGTTTCGCTTGAGTAAATCTAAAATTTTAAGAAAAAAAAGTCACTTTCCATTTGATGGCAGTAACATGTAAGGAAGTGGTATAAAAAAAACCCGGCACATTTTCTTAGCTTAAACATTTGATTTGTTTTCTGTTCTGTTGTTAATAACATATAGGCTTATGTCATTTGCAAACCATTCTTTTTGGGAACTAGAATAATTCATATACCACTCCATCTGTTGAAATACAAAAACTGTCATTCATGACAGTTAAACTGTAGTTTTTGTTTTGTGCTTTATTACTGCTAACATTAACAAAGGCTGATTGACAGTCATCTTGTCTAATTGGTAGTCCAAGTAGTCAGTGGGTGCAACGCATGAAGGAAGGAAGTAACGTGTCAGCAAAACTCACACAGCGGGAGGCAGAAAATGTATTCAGTAGATTTGTTAGACCTCAGGGATGCAAAGAGCCCGCTTCAGTAAGAAACACTGCATGTTAAGTTAACTGTCCTCTTTTAATTGGTGAAGATGTTCCCACACTGTTTTGGTCTGTTCAGGTTGGATTTTCATAGTCTTTTGTAAGTTTCTTTATGTTTGTATTTATTTAAAAAAAAAAAAGGATATGCATGTTAACAAGCACTTAAAGTCATCATGCACATATGTCAGATTTAGCCTCTATAGTCTGACAGGCTGATACAATATTAGATTAATCAACAAAACCAAACATTGAGAAGCATGTGAACATAAATAAAAGACAAAAACACATACTCCTATAACAGATTAAATTGTGTAAAATTGTATGTAGCAGGATAGTAGTAGCGTAGTATATTTTCTCAGTTGACCAGTTTCCATATTCAGTGAAAACCACCTGCAGACTGTATCGCTAAGCTCTCATCCTGTCTTTGTGTCTTTGGACTATTAAATCTGAATTAATATGTTTTTCCATTTTATGCTGTACATCGTATTATGATTGCTTAGACTTATTTGGTGTGGTCTGGTATGACCTGCAGGAATTCTTGGTTGTTAGAAATGTTAAGAATTTAAGGAAAATAGCTTTAATTGAGTCAAACAAAAACAGCTGAACCCAAACGGACTTACTGCTACTAACTGTTTTGATTAAAAACCATCTCCCCTCTAAAAAGCCCTTTTTCACTGAAGTTAACATTAGGGGTTTCATTTTTCTGTCTTTGCTTTGGTCTTGCAGACGGTTTGGTTCCATTCACTTTGCTAGATTTTTACAAATGTTAGGCCTTTGTAAACACTCACGTTAGCAATTCTTTTTTTTTTTTCACTTTTTCCTGGAACTATGGGCTGAGATGGGAGGGGGGGGGGGGTCCCCTTTCAACAGGAAGATAATGCTTCTTGGAAATGTTCATTTTCAGCCAGGGAATGTGGATGGATGATGACAGGAGACAACCTGAGGGGTGATGATTCAAGAGGTACCAGGCTGAAAGGGGGACCCAGAACATCTGGAATCATGATGTTATTGTTTGTATCACACCATATCAATGAAAAATAGCCATGTCATGTTTTGGAGCTGCTCACTGTGAATGCATGAAGGTTTAAGCTGTATTTTTGGGGGAATTACCTGCAAGACTAAGACAGATGACACGTCTCACTGGCCCTGTGTAAAAATAAATCCCCACCCAAAGTCTGCACTTTGTTTTCTTAAGCAGCTTTATATGACCTTTAATTCTTTCCACTCATAGTGTTATGAATGCAACTGCATGTAACATAACCAGAGGGAGCTTAAAAACAGAAAGTGTCTAATTTTTCATCTTTCGTGTCACTCCAAAAAAGGTATTCCAAAAAAGTCTTGTATCTCTTAAATTTGAGATATTCACATATATAGTTTAGCAATATTTTATAGATCATATGGAACCTTTTTTTGTGGAACCTTCACGCCAAGACCCTTCCTTACCCTCCTTTCTTTTTTGTGTTCAGATAATCTGCACGCGTTTTCCAAAGCTGGGAAACTACATCAACTCCCACAAGTTAAGCAGATCAGGATGAAGGTTTGAAGTATTAAATCCATCTATTTTTTACATTTCTATACCTTCTACTTGAAGGAGGATTAATCTAGATAAAATACAGATAAGGACTAGATAAGTTTATTTTAACTAGATAAAAATAAACTTCAACATATCTTCATGAGGGAACAATTTTTTTTTTATCTGCTTTTGTTCACAGGCATGTTTAAATGTTTTTCAACATCCTGAAATCATCACATTCTGAGTTGCTATTTTAAATGCTTAAACAGTTCAAAATGAATATACAATATGTGCTTTTAGAGAGAGTTTATCAATCTGACTCAGGTTAGAAACTTCTTATGTGGAGAAAAGCTGGTCAAGACAAAAGGATATAAAGGATATATAAAAAAAAAATGTAGGAAAATCACCAAACGGCCAGAGTAATAAAACATTAGAATCAAGTTGTTTGGATGCCTGCTCAATCATCCAGGTAAGGAAATCCCAAAAAGTGGATTCTGTTCATCTGGATCTGTTTTCAATTGACTTTTTCAGTCTCCTGAAGAAGTCAAAAGAAGGCGAAAGGCAGGGTACACCCTGGACAGGTCGCCAGTCTGTCGCAGGGCTAACACACAGGGACAGACAACATTCACACCTAGTGGCAATTTGGGTTATCCAATTAACCTATCCCGACAAGCTGCATGTCTTTGGATGGTGGGAGGAAGCCGGAGTACCCAGAGAGAACCCACACAAACACGGGGAGAACATGCAAACTCCACACAGAAAGACCCCGGCCTGATGGTGGAATTGAACTCAGGACCTTCTTGCTGTGCGGCAACAGTGCTAACCACCGAGCCACCATGCTGCCCAACTAATCCACTAATTTTCTATTGGAGCAGTAATTGAAAACTTCACTATGAAATGTTTCTCAATAAATGACTGGTCGTACTCACCTCTCAAGCCAGTCAAACCAGGAACCCCAGGGGGGCCCAATTCTCCAGTGTCCCCTTTCTCTCCCTTAGGCCCTGGAGGTCCTGTATAAAGAAGAAAAAAAAATTTTTGTAATAAATAACTTGAATGGTGCAAGACAACTTGTCTTCAATAGGAGGCATACTTCTTTAAAGCTTTTCTCTCTTTTTTAAAATGTAAAATTAAGTAATATGTTGACAAAGAGACAAATCATCAGTTTGTTAGTGATTTTATGTTTATGTTATTATGCAAACAAAGATAATCCCATTTAAAAAAGAACTGTTTTGTAATGATGTTGAGTCAGAAACATAGATTTAAGTAATATAAATAATGCTTTTCATGTTGTGTCTACATGTGATGTTTCTGTTGCTTTACTAAAAGATATAACAGAACTTTGAATGAAAATAAGTCACCTGTTATCTTGAGGTCTGAAAAAGGCTACAAATAACTTTTTTATTGATGACCTGCTGAGGAAATATCTTTTCTTGGAGATTAAATAAGAGCTTTTTGATTTATAGAAAGTGCATTAGGGTTAATTATACATTAAAAGTATGCTTTATGGTGCCTTCATTATTATTATCTAGTATGTTGGATCAGGAACATGTAGATTATCCCCTGAGAAGTTAATACATGGAACCAGACCTTTAATGCAGGCAGATAATAACTTTATTCATGTCACAAAACTATATTTATATTTATTACAGAGCCTATCACACACAAAAAGTGACATATCTGGCAAATGAAGGCCAAAGTGGGTCTTACAACTGGGCTAGGGCTTCGGTCCAAGCATTTGTTATACTTGGACGACTCCAGAGACTGAGTGAGAAAAGTCAAATAAAGAGAGAAGGAGAGCGAGAGGAGAGATATGGCTACAATGAAAACCACATGTTAAACAAGGTGGACCAGAACTTGGCTTGTGGGAAAGCTGAGAAATCTGAGGACCTGTTAGTGTCCTGTGGTTCTGATCCTTCATGACTCTAATTTGCAGATTTCTGATTTAAAGAATAGGTATAAGCTGCAAAAACACGGTCAAAAAATCCTCAACTAGTGGGTTGAGGATTTTGTATTTTTGTCTCCCAATTATGACAAATTGCTATATAAAATAAAATACAACAATTAAAACAGTATAAATGGATAAAACTAAATAAAAGCAAGCCTTCACAAGTTAGTCTTAGGATCTGTGGACACCGTCGATACCTTTAAAAAGAAGTTTAGGTCCAATGAGAGAGAGTTCCACAACCTGGGAGTCACAATCACAAACCTGCATTCTGTTTTTTGTCCTTAACCTGGACCTTTGTACAAGCAACAAGCACTGAATAACCTAGTAGTTACTTATAGATGTAGTAGATCACTAATATAGGGACAGATCTGAATGTGATCCTCGAAATCTTAAACTGAATCCTAAACTTTAACATAAAGAGGTCAGAATCAGTGTCACATGGAAGCTTTTGGTGCACCTGATGAGAAGACTTGCAGCAGCATTCTGTACTATTTGTAAGTGATCCAGGGATGATTTTTGCAGGCATAGGAATAATGAATCACAATAATAAGGGCATGATGAAATAAAAGTATGTGTAATCAGAATATACTTAATACTGCCAATGTTCTGCAGATGATAAAAACACATTTATACAATACAGCCAACATTCTTATCAAAACTCAATGCCTGATCAAAAGTAACACCCAAATTTCTCACAGTCAGGAGAACTGAACATGAAATGCGTCCAAAATTCTCAATAAGTGTGGAAATGAAGTTGTCAGGGGCACAGATAAGAACCTTCGTTCTTATGTTAGTATATAAAGACAGATGTTTGGCTTCCATCCTGTTCTTTATAACATGGATGCAGTCCTGAGGACAGAAAATTTGGCTACATTCTGGGGTTTAAATTAAATGTACAACTATTATCTGTGTAACAATGAGATGCCTTCAGAGGTATTCAGGATGTGTCCAAGTGGACGCATATACAAAGCAAACAAGACAGACCTCAGAACCGTACCTTGGGGCACACCACAAAGTAAAGTTACAAGAGTGGAAACAAAATTAGAAGAAACAACTGAAAAGCTCTTGATATACTCGAATATATTAAGAGCTTAAGTCTCTTAATTAGAATATCATTATCAGCTGTGCCAAAAGCAGCAAAGTCAAACGTGGCCAAAAGAGTCGACTTTATGGCTTTTTAATTGTGAAAATTGCCAAGAAGGACATGTATTTTGAACTTCCATCTCAAGAGAGTCTGAATTTCCTTCTGAATGTGAAATGTAAATGTTTTTAAAAAGTACTTAAACCTCTTAATAGGTTATTAGGGAATAGTTTAATTGGACGGGTGCACTTTAGATTGAACTGGACTGTGTGCAGCCTCTGAACCAAAATGAGTTTGACACCATTAAATTAGTTGTAAAACTGACATAAATTAAATTGGCTTGATTACAGTTGATAAAAATACATCAGGCATTTTAAAGTCATGACAGGCAGATGACCAAATGATGAATTGGAATGATGAAAAATTGGCTAACTGATCTGTAATAAAAACTATATTTAAATGCAGTAGTTGTTAAATTAGGCAAAGGACTGAATCTACCAAGTGTATATAAATATTTTAGAAAGTGATGTGTCAGAAAAGGTTTCCATTAAAGCCTTTGTGCACACGTCCTGAGCTGGATTTGCCATAAATAATACCCTGTTCACTCAGTCAGTAATTCCTTAGCAATTTTCTTTAATCCCACAATTTTTCTTTGGACCCACACACACGTGTATTTTTTTTTTTGTCAAAATACTGACAACCCAACGCTTACTTCAGCTTTAGGCAACCAGAGTACAGTCCTTTTAAAAAACAAAACAAAAAAAACAAACTACAACCTTATTGCTTCCATTGGAGTTACTGAAGGTAAGAAGCAGCATGCTGACTTTGCAATGTTCAGAGAAACTGCTAAAACCTCAGAAGCTACGTCTCAGACACTATAAGCCACAGTTACCATGTTAAATGTTAAAGTTCATGACAGTAAAATTAAGTAAAATTAAGGCGGATTTGGAAGTGTTACCAGAACAAACTCAAAGTGAAGATCCACTATGCATAGCACACAGCCTATAAGCACATAGTTCATGTCAGCATGGTGGTGGAGAGGGGAAGATTTGGGCTTGTTGTGCAACCACATGACCAGGACCTGGATACAGTCATTGAGTCAATCTTGAACTCCTCTACATGCCAAAGAATTCCAAAGTAAAATGTGAGTCCAACTGTCCGACACCAGCAACAGGACAATGATCGCCAACAAAATGACTGAAAGAGAAAAAGGATCAAGTTGTTGCAATGGCCCACAGTCCAGATCTCCACTCTGAAAATAGGGATAGCAGGACCTTCAGAGAGCTTTGCATAAACTGATGCTGCAATGGCAATGAACTAAAGCAATCTTAAAAAGATGTTATAAACGATTATTTCACTGTATAGTCTTGTGAAAACTTTGTTTTTCAAATGACTGAGACAGTTTTGCCTTTCTAGGTTGGGTTAAGTTTAGGTTTATTACATATGATGGCCCAGACCTTATAGGGATAGAAAGATTTGCGGCTAGTAAGCAATAAATCAATACATTTGAAAGGAAGTACATCTGAGCAGGACATGCTGCTCATGTCTGAATCCCCATCACATCCACTCATAGTAACAAAAATGCACTGACACCAGCCAAAAGGCTTTGGGCTTTTAAGCCTAATCTTTTGAGAAGACATTTTACTCTGGTGGTCTGTAAAAGTTTGTTTAAGCAGAGTTTCACATTAATAATCTTCTGGCTCTCGAAGACACTAGTCAGCTGACAGGGTTTCAACAATAACAAGCCCAGTGGCCCCTCCTGGATCAGCCTGAAAACATCTGACAGCTCGGTCCAAGAATGCAATTCCAGTGAAGAGTTCAGGCGCCTCCGTCCAATATCCAGTCTTGTTACAAATCTGAAGTGTGGCCCAACAGCTCGTTTTGTTTTGTCTACACATGTGCAGTCCAGAAAAAAGATCATCTAATTTACCACAATAACAAATGACACAAGGCATCACCTGTGTTGATGTTAGTTGAGAATGCTTTACTTCTTTTATTGATTTGCTTTCCTTCTTTTATTGATATTTATTTTTATTTTATTTTTATTGATTTTTATGCTGATTTTTTCCCTTTCTTCCGTATGAGCTTACCTGCGATAGCTTCTGGACACTGGACACTTATAGATCATTAGGACTAAAGTGTTCTTAACAGAAACAGCAACATTTTTATAGTTACCTTATCCTCAGCGCTCCGTGTGTCTGTGGCCTACACACAGCTGAAGCCTGATTACAGCGTCTGGGCACCGAACAGCCTCAATAGCCTGGAAAGGTGCTAACCGCTAGGCTAACTAGCAACAAGATGCCTTCCCTCTCCACAGATGACTACCACAGCCTCCTGCAGAAGATTGCAGTACTGGAGACAAAAATTCATCGCTTAGAAGTAAACGTGGTGGTAAATGGACTGTGTGGAAATGAAACAACCTTGCCTTTGATTCAAAACAATGGCGATGAGCAAGCTAGTACACAGCTAAGGAGCATAGATAACATGACCAAGAAAGTAGACTGTGCATTATAATAAATCCTCAAGTGATGATCCCCCCTTGGACTGTCTTGGTGCAAAACCAAGACATAAATCATGTCTCCTGGAAGGGGGAGGACGTATCACAGGCAGGGCGATTAAAAAAGTACGATAAAATCAGAACAGTAGATAAAATCAGTAGTTAAAATGTAAGTTTTGAAATTTAAGCTTAAAAGTGTGGATTTGGTGCTTTATTCAAATGCAGCTGAGAATCAGGTGAGTCTTCAACCTGGATTTAAATAAACTGAGTGTTTCAGCTGATCTGAGGCTTTCTGGGAGTTTGTTCCAGATATAAGGAGCATAAAAGCTGAATGCAGCTTCTCCGTGTCTGGTTCTGACTCTGGGAACTGATAAAAGACCGGATCCAGATGACCTGAGGGATCTGGAAGGTTCATACTGGGTCAGGAGGTCACTGATGTATTTTGGTCCTAAACCATTCAGAGCTTTATAGAGCCAGCATCAGAACT